GCAATAGTAGCCATAGGAAAGGAAAAAGGACAGTGTGTAAGATAATCGATATCAGATCGGATTTGGGTACAAGATAAATATAATACTACTAGTACCACTAGCTACTTAATTTCACCACAAAAACAGAAAAAAAACTACAATAGGAGCAAATAAACATATCGTTTGATCGTGTCATATGTTGATGTTAGTTAACCGCAGCTAGGAAGGTTAATTCAAAAATATCTAAGCGATCGTGGGTGTCCGATTGACCGTCCAACTCCCCTGTTTTATATACTGACTACGTTGGTGTTGTACATATATAAATATACAAAGTATATAAAATACTTGCATATGTCAGCTTAATTGCATAACTTGTTTTGTAGAAATATTTATTTTTTCATGAAATAAAATTATCTCAAACAACAAAACGGAGTACACCATTGCAAAGAGCTCGTCGAGACGATCAAAATTGATATATTATTTGCTATATTTGGAGCTTCGAATAAAAAGATATCAATTTTGCAAATTAAAAAGGAGTGTTGACGTCATCGCTGACGTCAGCACTGCTACAGTGCCATGCAAAATCGCCTGGGAAACCGGCCAGGGTCCTAAAGTGAACTTTTTCGAGAGTTGGAGGACCAATGTTATCCGGTTTTGAAGTTGGAGGTTGAAATCCATACTTCTATGATAGTTGGAGGTCCTAAAGTGAACTTTACCCATTTTGCAAATTAAAAAGAAGTGCTGACGTCATCGCTGACGTCAGCACTGCTACAGTGCCATGCAAAACCGCCAGGGAAACCGGCCCTAAAGTGAACTTTTTCAAGAGTTGGAGGGCCAATGTTATCCGGTTTTAAAGTTGGAGATTGAAATCCATACTTCTGTGATAGTTGGAGATCCTAAAGTGAATTTTACCCAACGCTAAATCTACCGCTCACTCGGGTCAAATTTGGGCGGTGCTCACTCGATTTCGGACGGATGCGATGAAGCGGCCATCGCCGACCGCACGCAGGAGCCGCTGCCGCGTGGCCTCACCCTCGTCCGCATGCTTTCCACCTCACCACCACTCTCTGCAGCATGCACGCGTGAAAATGAAATTCGAGCGCTCGCTTCCTTTCTCTCTCTTCCCATCCCCTTCCTCGCTCTGCTCCAGAGCAAAGGTGCCGAGCGCCATGGCCGGCCGCCGCCGAGCTCCCAACCGCCACCACCAGCTTCACCTCCCCTGGCTGCTCGGCCAGCGGCCCTGCTGTACTGGCACCGCTGTCAGTGGCGGAGCTTGCATGAATGTGCAGGGGGGAATTCAAAGATACACTGCTACAATATTACTAATAGTAGCATAGACAATTGGAATTCTGTGAATTTTTTTTGTTTTTTTTAAGTTCTATCTATATAGACTACAAGAACAATTGGAATTCTATGAAAAAAGAATGAACAATGTGCAGATTTACATACTTGTAAGTTGTGATCCACTCATCAGCAACAACAAACATGGTAGGAGAGAGACAAAAATTAATTGCATGCATGCAGCAACATGCAAACCTCCATAGATACATCCAGAGCAAGGGGGTCCAGGACCCAGTTTGGCCCCCACGTAGCTCCGTCCGTGGCCGCTGTCGGCCAGGCACCAAGCCGACGCTGACGCCGCGCTGCGAGGCCCGCCATCGCCCAGCCGAGCGTCCGCGCCGCCGAGCGACCACCGCTGCAGTCTTGTGCAACTGATTCAATCTAGTTACAGATTCATCTCACTATAGCATATTTTACTACTGTTGTTTGGGTGTAAATTATGTGTTCAACTGGTGTAAACTGATTGTTCGTTGTTTTTCCCTTTTATTATGAAATTTGTATGTTTTATATTGAATTTATTTAATTTGCATTTGTATTTCTGTCTATTATATTTGAATTTCTTCCAATTTACCTACCATAGAACAGATCTGTTCATTTTTATTTTTTTATTTGTATTTTGTATGTTTTATATGTTTTTTCATTTGAATTTATTCAATTTGCATTCTATAAATATAATTTGTTAATTTGTTTTTTGTCTGGTCCATTGAATTTGGATCTTGTGGTTTTAGCAACTCGGGTGATTGATGGCTTTAAATCACTCGATTTTGTCTTCTTTGTAGAATCGAGTGATTTTTAGCCCTACCTCACTCGGGTGACATGAGGCCATAAATTACTGAGTCTACGGTAGACAAACCCTTGATCGGCATAATCTAATTATACTTGATTATGGTATCATATATATTTTTTTTCTAAATTTGATCAAATTTAAGATAACTTGATACTAAGTCGATTTGTGTTTTAATGTATAAAATAAAAAAAACCCAAACGACTTGAGTTTGGAACGAACAGAGAGAGTATTTAAGGGCTAAGGCCCTATTTGGATTCCCTTCCCTAAACTGTAGAACTCTAAAAACTTTAAAGCACTTTAGCTTATTTTTAAAGTCTAAAGTTCTAATATAAGGCGAACTAAAATTTAAAAATAATTTTAGAGTACGTGAAGTTTTAGTTTTAAAGTTTAGAGAGGAGGTTGAAGTACGTCGAACTGGGGGACTACGTTATTCGAACTTACGTTATTCGAACTGGGGGACTACGTTATTCATTGGGCCTTTTTTCGTGGTAACTTCCCACGCGTCGGCTGCCAACGTGCCGTTGCTTCGCCGAAAGTACAGTGGTAGAGTAGTGGGTGTACTATCTTGGCCCACCACCTTAAGTTGCACGTCTCATGCATGGTATTGGCTCGTTCTCAGTTCTGTATGGTTCTGCCTTGCTGCCATGCCAACGATGAAATGGGGTTTGAAAAGCCGCCGATGTCGGAAGCAAAGCGCGATTAGCTTTTCTAACGAGCCACATACGTATGGCCAAAGCGTTCGACGAGTACGATTGTAGTACGGCACTGGAAACTTCAATTTCATTTGATCACCTGTCCTGAATGATCGACAAACAATGCCGTCACTTTCTAACCAAATCACGGCACTCACCTAATAAAAAGAAGAAAAACATCGCATAGTGGGCGCTCGATTTGTTTCCTTAATAAGCATATAATGGCTCCATTCGTGTGTCCTTAAACCCGGTTTGACCTGCTTATTTTTTTATCCGAAACCGTGTTTTTCTCTCACAAATTCCTTCAGCATTCTTCCAAACCATTCAGATTACTCCAGAATTCAGACAAGTGAACATGCCCAGTGTGTAGGCCGCATGACCCGAGCTAATGTTAGGCCACCAGAAAAAGTTCGCAAAGTGAAAAAGATTAGGGACTAGTAGTAGAAGAAAATGACAGTAGTCACATACACTTATTTCCAGCGCCCCACCTAATATTAGAACGCCGTGCGTGCATTCGAATAGTGGGCGCTCGATATACACACGCACCCGCTCACCCTGTTAGCTGGGATTGTTTAGTGTATAAGTCGTATTTTTTTAAGTCAATGAATAGTATTTTTTTCCCACATTAAATCAGTCGACAGTGCTTTTAGTCATGGCTTATCAGCTAAACAAGTTCAAACAAATAGGACGAATTGTTGCTTCCTTAATAAGCATCTAGTAATGTTTAGGCTGGACCCGAACTAAATATTAGGCTGCCAGAAAATTCGCGCAAAGAGCGAGAGTAAGGAGGTGTTTAGATCCAGTGACTAAAATTTAGGAGACATCACGTGGGGGTGTCGTATGGGATGTTCAGATACTAATAAAAAAACAAATTACAGAATCCGTCAGTACTCCACGAGACGAATTTATTAAGCATAATTAACCCGTCATTAGAACATATTTACTGTAGCACCACATTGTCAAATCATAGACTAATTAGGCTTAAAAGATTCATCTCGTAAATTAGTCGCAAACTATGTAATTAGTTTTATAATTAATCTATATTTAATACTTCATGTATATGTCTAAACATCCAATAAGACAGCGACTAAAGTTCATCAAACACCCCTAAGATTAGGGACTACTACTAGAAGGAATAGTTTGCGTCCGTCGGTCAGTAGCAACAGAGACTTGCTATTTCCAACCCCCACCTAAACATAGAACGTAGTACTATTATACGTGCATTCGCATCATGTGTTGAACACATGCATGCCTCGTACCCGCACAACCACAAATCGGTCTGTGCTACGACAAGGACTGGACCAGTAGGACTAGCAGCGGGCACGGGCTAGCGGCCAAGTAGCCCAGCGCCCCGATCTTCCACGGCCGAACCAGCATGTGCGCGTCGGAATCAGCCGGGAAACCGAGCAGAAACCCCCACGCGCCCGCTTGTTTCCCGTCCCTCGGGCCTCGGGGGCTCGGGGCGGCGGTAGCCTACACTGCTGGGTCGGCCCACACCACGCGCATGGCGCACCGCCCGGCAGTCCCATCCCACCGCCAGTTCGCGAACCAACGCCCACTCCAGACTCCCCACGCGCCTGCCTCCCTGCATGATCCCAGAAATGAACAGTGTCCGGCTGATAATGTACCATGACTTATAAGTCCGCAAATAAGCTGGCTGAAACGACCAGCCGGCACCGCCCCGCCAAGCCCAGACCACCACCGCGCGCGCGCTCGGGAGCAGAGCACAGACGTGCGGTGCCGTGCCGGCATCTCTCCTCGCTCGCGCTGCCCCGACCCGGCAACCGCAACCTTCGGGTCACCCGCTCGCCTTTCACGTGCTGCAATGCTTTCCCCTCACCACCCACCCGGCGCCCGCCCAAGCCACGAAATTAGCAAAGGCCTGGCCTATCTATCTACCCGGCTTGTCTCTCGAGTGTCAACCAACACCGCTCCAGCTGCGTGCGCAGCTATTAAACCAGGGCCAAACATAGTACTCATGCTACTGCGTGACCACACCACAGATCGTCGTCTAGCTCCATTTCGTTTCCGGGAAGCAACCAACCAACTCCCGTTCCCGGGCAGCCGACGACCTTGGGCCGTCTTCGTCTGCTGCCAAAGAGTTTGATGTGAGCAGCTGGTTGGTCCTTTCAATTCGTGTGCTTTTGCTAGTAGCTTGAGATCAAGCCGTCGAGCGAGCGAGGATCGGAACATCTATCATCATGGCCGCCGAGCACCAGCTGCAACAACAGCAGCAGCAGCCTGCCAAGGCCGCCGCCGGCAGCAGGTTCGCGGTGACGTGCGGCCTGCTGAGGCAGTACATGAAGGAGCAGGGCGGCAGCGGCGCCACCAGGTGCCTCGCGCCGGCCGTCGCCATGGGCCTCATGCCGGAAGCCGACGCTGCCTCGGCGGCGACGACCGAGGAGAGGACCACCGTGCTGGAGCTCTTCCCGCAGCAGGCTGGCACGCTCAAAGACGAGCAGCAAAGGTGTGTTCATTCTCCATCACCTCCAGTATCACCTTCCTTTCTCCTCACCGTGCCGTGCGCATATAGACAGACTACGTGCTGTGTGTGAACTTGCTTCTGATCGGATCTCCGTCGTCCCCTTAATTAGGAAGAGGAAGGAGCCTGCTGACGGGAGAGCGCCGCTGACCATCTTCTACGGCGGCAAGAAGGTTGTCTTCGACGACTTCCCCGCGGAGAAGGCCGAGGAGCTCATGCAGCTCGCCGGCTCCGGCGGCAACACCACCGCGCCCGCCGCCGCCCACCAGAACGCGCTGGGACAGCCCAGCCTCACAGGTAGGAACGGAACGCGTATACCTACACTGTCCAGTCCAGTGTTCACACGGATAATTGCAGAGGGCAAAGCAAAAGCCCATGCAGCGTTCATACAATACAGCGAGCTGAGAGTGACAGCATTTATTTGTCCCGTGCGTGCACGTTTCTTACAGACATGCCCCTCGCGAGGAAGGTGTCGCTCAAGAGGTTCCTCGAGAAGAGGAAGAACAGGCTCACCGCGGCAGATCCGTACCCGGCGGCGGCGGCGGCAAGTGAGTCGTCGACCAAGCAGCCTTCTGCAGTGAAAGACGAGGGCGCGCCGTGGCTCGGCGTGAGCTCCGCGCTCAGCCTCAGCTGAAGAATCTGATCGAGGACCTACACAACGAACCACTAGAGACCCCAAGGGAAACTACAAATTACTCCAGTAATTGCTACTGCGTACTACTAGTATTTTTCCGGCCGTAAAAATATGTACGTGTTTCATTTCACCCTTGACATTTACACCAGTTACTGCTGGCTGCTTCAGGGGAATCAGCTAGCTAGCTAATTAGTGTATTATGATTGGTTAATTAGTTGTCTGTTTGAGAATTCTTTGGCGACAAAGAATTCTTTTCTTCCTTGCTGATGTTCATCTGCCAGGATATGAACTAATTCAATCTAGTCGATCGATTCATACATATATAGTGTGTAAATTCAAATAAGCTGATGGAACAGGTTATATATGCTATATTTTTTTCGTACATTGTTGCCGTCTCGTGTCCTATAATGCCTCAGGTGGACAAAAGTATTCAATTTGTGGATTTTTTCCTTTTTTTGTTCATCAATGAAACTGAAGTAACATGTATGTTCCTGAGATGCTAGCAGTATGTATCATGTATGTTGTTGAGATGCTATATCCAAATTTTAATGCAAAAACTGCGCAAAGCAATTCGTCTGTCATATGACATGACCTTAAAAAACTCTTGGTGTGAACAAACAAACTCTGAACAACTATTATTCAGACAAAAGAAAGAAACAACTGATGAACCCTAGCAATGGCCGTCATTGTTAAAAGACAAGCTCAGACGTGTTAAACTTTCGGCCTCACGGTGATTTGGTTCACACACCAAAAAGCTAAGCTTTCATGTGCTGCGGTGTTCGCGGCGGTAGGAACAACAAGGGCCCCGTTCGCTTCGTTGAAAACACAAGCCGAAATAATATTCCGGCTGATTTGTTATGAGAGAAAAACATTGTTCTGACTAAAAAAACAAGCTAAAAAATATGGATTATAAGACAAGCGAACATGACCAAGGAACCGGAGAGGGAGTAGGAAGGAAGCCGCAGGAACACGGTGGTAGGAAGAAACGTGCATGCATGGGTGTGTAGTGCAGTCGTTACACGTCGTCGTCATCGAGACTTTGGAACGACGAAGCCTATGCTTACCGTTTCAAAGCTCCTCTCCTCCGACAAAACTTGCATTAGGTGGTGGTATACTAAACACATCGGTCGGCATCGTCGTGTCACGTTTCGCGTATACGTGGTCAAAACTCAGACGTAGTGGAACTGGAAGGAACGTTAGTACTAGAAGAGAGAAGACGGGGAGCAGGTTCTGTTGGCCTTCTGCCTCTCCTGCCTGTGCTTCGTCTCCACGTCAGGCTGGCTGCAGAGTGCAGACTGCAGACTCTGATGAAATGAAGCTGAATATTCCACTTGTCAGCTGCATGCGAGGAAGGAATATCTTTGTTTTGACTCCCACAGGTGCTACTGTGCTACTGCTCTGAAATGCTTGATGGCTGTTGTTAGTTAAAAGCCAAATGGACTGTCTATTTGGAAAATTAAGATTGCCATTAATTTCAAAAGCAAAAGAAAACCCCAAATTGTAGTTCAAATTAACATTAGGATGCGATCAGTATCAGGAGGAGTTTTGTTTGGCCAGGCTCTGCGCTCTATGGCTAGCACCTTTCTGAGTGCCCCAGGTACTCAACCAAACATTTAGGTGTAGCATTTCCTTCTTCTTCTTCTTTTTTGCCGATAGGTTTTCTTCCTTTTCTTTTCCAGCATTTTAGTTCGACCATCTCATTCAGAGAGTTGACCCATAGATCAAACACGCTATTAGCTGCCTAGCTCATCAATCAGTGCCCCATGTGTCCGTAGCTATCACAGGTCTCATTGGTTGAACACGAACTCATAAATTATTCAGTGTGCATTGCGTCTGGAATTCCACGTATCATCAGTATCAGAACAACTCTGTGGCTTACTTGTTGCTCGTTCTTTTCTTGACTACTTATGTGCACATATACGTATACATCATAGACACGGTACGCATGTGCAAATTATCTTTGCAGTCTACTGAATTGACCTAACACATGGAAATGGTATACATTTATCAGTTGGCTGAAAACCAGGATCACTTGGTCAACATCCCCATTTGTCGAGTACAAACCCAATGGTGTGAGCTCTTTTCTTTGACACTAAAATTCTCTTTAAAATATAGTGTCGGTGCGAAAAGTGACCAACAAGTAAATATTTATAGTTTTGCCGTGCGTTGTGATCGAATGTGGCCTAACACGCAATGACATAGGATTTATACTGGTTTAGGCAACGTGCCCTACGTCCAGTTTCGGTCGGTCGGTCGGTGACTTTATTCCTGAGCTCAAGTGCTCGAAGTTTGCTATGAGGTTACAAACGAGTAGGAATGAGAATGGGGATGTTAAAGGCCCGATCGGACTCTGAACTGAAGGATCGAGAGTGACGGGAGCTCTAACGTGCGCTAAGTATTGGAGCGTGTACTCTGTGTAGCTTTAGAGTTCTAGAGCTGTGGAACTGTTCGAATGCTCATATTGTCTAGAGCTAGCCAGAGAGAGAGTTCGTCCCCTTTTGGGAGAGAGCACATCCCTTTATAGTTGAAGGGGATGGCCTTGCAAGTCAGAGAAAAAGATAAATGATACGTGTGCTACCTAGTCTTGTTGCCCACGCCGTAGGGTACGAGACGGTCGTCGGCGCCCACAATACTGTTTATGTCAGACGCATGTGGTAGGCTTTACCGTGTTCACCTGATATGACAAATGTCGATGCCTACAATACTGTAAGGCAAATATCGGCGCCAACAACACTGTTTGGGTTCTGACCCGCCTGGAAGGTTGCATAGTACCCGTCTGGCATGGCCTGGTGGCACTATCCTGTGTATTGCGGTTGATTTGAGCACCTTACCTTATATGCTCCGCCTGATCCTTGGGTCCTTACCGAGCGGGCCTCCCCGGTCGGTCGTTCCCAGTCGGCTCCGACCATGTCGATCGGGGAAGAATCACTAGCAGAGGTTCGACGTATCTCCGGTCGGAAATGGAGGTCGGAGTCGGACTGTGTCCCTACCTTAGCCAGGCCTTTCGGTCGGGGATCGGGCCGTTGCCTGGCCTATCATTATATATCTAGGCCGCCCTAGGAATCGAGTCTTGTTGCTACGCTGTCTTGCTGGGCCGAGTTTTTGTAGGGAAGCGGGTCCATCGGGGACCCCAAGTTTATGAACCCGACATATATGAATCTTTTTTTTGTATTTTATCGTATCGATAATGCTTGGCCATGGGCGTCCATCCCATTCGGACGCCGCGCGCCTCACTCCGCTCGCTGCTGCGGCCTTCTTCCACCATGCGCCCCACCCTACGCCGCTCGCTCGCTTGCTCCTCGCTCCCGCCCGTCACACGCCCCACCTACGCCACTCACTCCTCTCTCCCATCCATCGCGTCGCCCGCCCCCTCCCATAGCGCGTGTCGCTTGCCCGGCTGAGCCAAGGCCAGTGCTAGTGGTGCTCGCTCGCCGCCACTCGCCGCTAGATACCACCCCGATGACTGGAATTGACCATCCTTGACCTTCCCTCCCCTATGTTGCAAATGTATGTTTCAAGTGTTTAAGATATTTCAGAGGTATGTGGCAATTGTTACATATGGATGTTACAAAAGTAGACCAGGATGTTGCACATGTTGCATATTTTGCAAGTGTTTTCAAAGGTATGTTGCAAGCGTTTGTTCAATATTTCATTTGTTTCAGACGTATGTTGCAGCAAGTGCTTTTATCTAGATGTGGTATATGTTTCACATACATGTTGCAAGTGTTTTATCTGGATGTTGCATATATTTCACACATATATTGCAATAAATTCCCAAAATGTTTTTTCATGATTTCATCGTGGCTGTGGTCCTAAAAGCAAAGTTATAGAGAATTAAATTCTAAGCAACTTTCATGTTACATCCAAGTGTTTCATGTTGCAAGTGTTTCATGAGGGCACGGTGAGTGATGGACGCACGACCCGAGCGCCGTGGGATGGGGCGCAGCGAGCTGGAGGGCGGTGGACGGGTTTGCAGGAAGCTAGGGGCTGGCTCTCGAGTCCCACCCACATTGAAAGAGAGAGAAGGGAGTAAGGAGAGGAGAGCGGGCGTGAGCGAGCATGGGGCTAGGTGTGCGCGTGGCGGAGATGGGGGACGCCGCTCCGCCATTAGGTCAGAGGGGGTTGATTATTCACCTCTATCCGACGCGGGGCGCGAGAGAGCAAAGAAAGTAACGTCGAGGGCGGGGTGTGCGTGCGAGTCGGAGCGAGGCGGGCTACGCGCGCATGCGTGTCTGTCAGGACACCCGGGCGTTAGATACCGTTATTGTATTCCTAGGAAAAAAATTTGATTCGTACAAAATTCTTACACAATTTCTATAAATCATGTCCTTGATCTCATTGTTATAAATCCTGCTGTACATGATGATATGCCGGAGGTCAGGACCTCTGGTCCTTGATCTCATTGTTTTATTTATTTACAACAAGATGTCGCATTATCGAAAAAGAAAGAAGCAATGAACCATGTGGCTTGAAATTTTAGGCCTTGTAGAGAAGAAAAACAGAACATCTGACTGGGTCGTATTTGGGCTCCTTTGTGACAAGCAAACACAAAAGTTGACTCCCGTTCCCGTTTACTTTCACCATTTTCTTATCAGTTGAGTCTCAGTATCAGCATATATGCTGCCATGTATAGCAGGGGGCTGCGACTGAATCAATTTTTAGAGAAAAAGGGGTTTAACAATGACATCACCAAGGTTTCAACCATAGGCAGGAGGACTCACAGGCTGCGCAAGACCAAATCAAATTAAGAACCTGTCCAAACGAGTCCATCAGCCCCACGTCAAGTTGTAGCCGCTGATGCAAGTCTTGTTTTGTTGTGCCTCTGATTCTCAAACATTTTGTTCTCCGTTTAACAAGTCGCCCGATTATGCAATTTGCCAGCACGATGCATATATTTTTATCTATCCCAGCACGTTGCTGCGCACATGTGACGGAATTAATTTCTGGCGCATGTTGCCGGGTCCGCGCGGCATCTTCCTTGCTCTGCCGCCGCTTGTTTC